AGGCTGTCGGCTGCGGCTGCTCTTTCCTCCAACGGAACCTGATGCTGCTCAGAGGCTTCCGAGGTCCTGGGTGACTCCTGGTCTAACCCAGAGGCGACATCCGCCCCCTAAGCCGTGACTGGGTGAGGAGTCGACCTGTGACCCCACCTGGGCCAGTGAGAGGCCCCCTGGGGGAGCCACCTGGGGCTCCTGGGAAGTCACCTGTGGCTAAAAGGACCCAGAGCACAGGTAGCAGACGAGGCAGGCGCAGGGCAGGGTGGGGCGGGGCCACGTGCGACCACCTGTGACTCCCTCTGAGGATGTGTCCTTGGGCCCTGGCCCACAGAACCACTGACTGGACTTTCTTGTTTAGCTGCTGGAGGTGGGCTGACTGCAACGGGAAGACCTCTGACTGACACAGGATGGGGAGCCAGTGCACCCCAGCGCACACCCAGGGCCCATGAGCACACACGCGGGCGGGCCCTGGCACACATCCGGGGACCCCCAGGCGGGCAGAGGGCAGACTGACCTTCAGGGCGTCGGGCTGGGCAAAGCAGACCTGGGCCCCCCACTGGATGCCCGTCCACAGGTCGTAGATCTGGGCGGCGATGTGGCTGAGGGGCAGGTAGCTGACCACCACCTCCTGCTGGACCTCGGCGGGCTGGATGCCGCCGGCCTGGCTGCCGTACCGAGCCGTCCACGTGATCTGAGGGCGAGGGGCGGGCCCGCAGGTCTACACGCCACCCTGGAGGCGCTCACGTCTGCAGGTGCCCGCGGGCCTGGGCTCTTTCTCTGGGGGACCCCTGGAGTGTCTGCCCCCCTGGGCATCTCTGCAGGAAACCCCCATGGACAGCCCCCTCATCGCCCCGACTCTGCTGGGTGCCGTCTGGACCACAGACTCTGTCTGTCCCCGTGTCCCTGCTCCCCGAGCCAGGCCCAGAGGAGCCGCCCAGCCCACCCCGGGGCGCGGCCTACGTTGTCCTGACTCAGCATCACGCCCTTGGGGCTGCCGGTGGTGCCGGACGTGTAGACCAGCGCGCAGCACTGGTTGGGCTGCTGCGTGCTGAGGATGGCGTCCAGGTCCTCCTCGGGCACCTGGCCCCCCAGCTCCATGAGATCCTCCATCTGTGCGGGGGGCGGGGTCCGGAGCAG